TTTTTTTGGTAATAGACGCGTAAAATTGTTTGGAGTATATATGAACGAAAACGAAAACGAAACCTAAGCTTATAACGAAAGTAACAAAGTCATAAATGTTTAAATAATGTGTAATTGATAGCATATATAATATATATAAATATAATAATAGTTATACTGTATAAGGGTAAAAGTTTGTTTTTTTTTTTAAAAGGTGGGTTGTTAATATATAAAGACTTGTTACTAATTTCGTAAAGAAAAAAAAAATGTCATTATTTTTTCATAGAGTGGTGAACGCGTCTGAATAATCAAGAAATTTTTTTTTTACAATGTAATGTTTTTTTTTTCTTAATTAATTAATAAATTCTCAACACAGCAAAACCCTTAAAATGAAAATGATAAATATCTTAAAAGAAAAAATTTTTCAAATCCTTCTTTAAAAACAATCATAAAAATAAAATCTTTGTGCTATTTAACAAGGAAAGGGAATCTAAAATATTATATACAGATGAAAAACGATAATGAAATATATAAAAAAAAAAAACAAATGAAAAATGTGATAAATGATAATTGGTGAGGAGAAATTTCTATATATAAGAAAAATAGGTACAAGAACAAAAAAAAAAGAATGTATATATATAAAAATGAATATAGAAAATATAGAACGTAAATGAGTACCCACCCACGATCTAACTTTTAATTCGCAATTTTACGAACATTATTTAACGAGAGAATTCGTATCTCTGTTAAATTTTGTTATCATATTTGTTTTGGTTTTTGCCCACCCAATATTTTGGCAAATAAAACCATGAATAATATGTTTAAAAAAAAAAAAAATGAATGAAATTTTTTTTTTTTTTTTAATATATATACACATATAATGATATATATATATAAATGAAATACATGATAAATATGCAAACGATATAAATTATTGAAGGTGGAAAAAATTGAAGAGAAAAAAAAACGACGAAGAAAAATAAAATAAAATAAAATAAAAACGTGATATAGTATTTCCAAAGGTACCAAAGACTTTAATACCTAAAAGGAGGTAAATTTTGATATTGACGACCATAATCGAAAGTATTTGCGTTGTTATTGAATATTCCAAAACAGGAATTATTAACACCGATAGAACCAATAGAACCAATAGAACCAGTGGTAGAATTAGCAGTAGGAACGGTGTTATTATTATTCGTAAGTGGTGGTAAAGCTCTGGCCCTTGGAGAAAATGTCGGATCATTAACTATATCACTGATACGATTCGATAATACGGGGGTAGGTGTCATAATAGTAAAATTAGAATGACATTGGGGTTTCCATTCATAATTTTCGATACTCATTCTACCAAATCCTGGAAGAAGAGCATTATTTACTGTTTGGGCATGAAAAGAATCAGAATCGGCCAAAGGACCCAAATTTGGTGATGGTTCAGGACTAATACCAGGTGTATGAACAGGCGTTGGTATGAAATCATGTTCTTCATCGGATCCATTATCATTACACATTTGAGGTGAAGGAGCCTGACCATCAAAAACGGCAGATAAAGGTGGACTCATCAAATTGAATTCATTATTATCATTAGAAATTACTCTTTTTGGGTAATGATCATGTAAAGAGAAATCTAATGTAGAAGGATGTTGCGCGACAAGGTTATTTATGCCTTGAACACGAGGATAATCCATGGTAGGAATATTGATGGAAATAGATGAATGTGGTAAATGAACAGGATGATGAATTTGATGAACAGGATGAAAAGCAGAATTATTTCCATCGATGGAACCAGCAGAACTAGTACTAGAAGAACTAGAATTAGAACTATTACTATTACTACGAGACCGGAAAGCATTATTTTTGAATTCAACAGTCATTTTTTGTTGCTGTTTCCGTTTATCTTTTTTATTTGTATTTGAATGAATACGTTTATGACGAGTCAATTCATCAGATCTAGAAAATCGTTTTTCACAACCAGGAAAATCACAATGATGAGGTTTTTCACCAGTATGAGTACGAATGTGACGAGTTTGATGTTCCAATCTATAAAAACCCCTATGGCATATGTTACATTTGTAAGGTCTAGGAGCATTTTGCCTGTCTACAGACGCGTTAGAACGCCTTCTTGAAACGGAAGAAGGTGTAGTTGAAGAAGGCGGTGGTGGTGGTGGTGGGGGATTGGACATAGACATAGAAGGATCATGAGCTGCATCGTACAAATGGGTGAAATTTGGTTGCATATATGAATGATTTGGGGTAGGATGCAAAAGATTTGATAAAGATAAAGCTGCTGCCATGTTTATTTTTTTTTTTTTTGATAATAAAAAAAAAAAAAAGATAATTTCTTTAAATCTTTAAAATAAAAAATTTTAATAATTTCGAAAGTCAAAGACTCAAAAAAATCGAGAAAGTCGTTAGAGTGGAAAAAATAAAAAATGCCAGAAGCATAAGAATTAAGAGAAGAGGAAGGATTAAAACTTATACTTTAGGCTGATTTAAAGAATTTACGGAGATATTTAAGTACTCGTAGGGTGGCAAAAATTGAATACGGAAATCATACGGAAGAAAGTTGAGAGGAAAGTATGCTTTATATAAAATTTCAATTAATGAAAAATAGAATAATGGTCTAATAAAAAAAAAAAG